GGCCACTCTGTACAGGCCCATGGTCTGCATGCCCTCCAATATTTCTAGATGAAAACCTGGACACATATGACCAGGTAACATCAGAAGAGGGCAAAAGTTATTAATGGGAAGAACAGGCAACCTAGGAGATGCTGTAGCAGTTTTCTTTTGCCTGAGTCTACAAGGAAGAGCCAGAGGTTAAGTACAAACTACTTCTCCACTTTCAAATCAGTTTGCAACAATTGTAGTAGGCCAGGGGGAAAAGGGAAAGGATGAACAGGAGAAAGAAACTAGGACATTTGAAAAACAGCTGGAAAAGTGGGACAAAAGAAGATGAAATGGAATTGTCCTTGCCAAAGCTGGACAGTTGGGGTGTGTGGGTCTGTCTTATTTCCCTAAACCGCCTTGTGGCCTTTGAAGACCAAACACTCAGAGCTTGGAAAAGTTATATTTTGTACTAAAATTTCCACACCTATATAACTGCTAATATTTTTGTGTACTTTAAAGCTGACTTTTTTTTCAGATAACATTTATTACAGATTTCAGGTTCAGATAAGGATAGTATGTCTCCTCTGAACGAATGCTTGGAAGAGGGGTTGGATGAAGAAAATCAAATTGAATCTTAATTCAGACAAAACAGAGATGCTTACTATCAAGGATCCTAATCTGGGGCTGTAGGTGTGTTAAACAGTTGTGGATGGGGTCACACTCTCCCTGAAAGACAGTTTGGGAGTGCTCCTGGATCTCTCTCTCCAATGTCAGCCCAGATAGATGTGACAGTTAGGAGTACCTGTTATCAGCTTCACCTAATATGCCAATTGTGCCCCTTCCTAATATGGATTCATTATCCATGGGAAGTCCTAGGACCAAACCCAGCAGAGATCACACACCCACTGTACAGAAAAAAACAACAACCACGCTATCTCATTTGGAGGCTCTGTTTCACTTCCAAGCTGAGAGGCTCCTAACTACCCAAGTCCAGCATTAGAAAGAACTGTGAAGCTAGACTGATTCCACCAGTGTAAGGTGGGGGAGGCACTAATCAATGAAATTGTTTTTGCTCCAGATCTAGCTTCATCATCATCACTGTATGTCACTCTACAGCTTCATCAGGATAACAAAGAGGCAGCTTATTCATTAACATTTTAGCATAATTGGTCAATTTGCTGTCCATCACAATGGTGGCCAGCCTTTGTAATCAATACTGCACATTTTCCAATGATAATGAGGGCTAAAGTAAAATGTTAAAACGTGTTAATGAGATGGTTCAAGGAAAAGTGCCAGTCCACTTCTATATACTTTGCCAATGAATTAAGAGGTAGTAGACAAAGAGAAGGTTCATTTTATATGAGCCCAACTGAAAGAGCCTATCTTTTCCACAAGTGTGGATCCATCAAATGTTTATAAAGAATACACCAACACACTAATCTATCTATAATTTTGTCTGATATCCATCTATTTCTCTCCCTTGTTCTCTCATGAAATGCCCTCAGTCTTTCTCAATTTACCCCTAAATCTCAAAGTCCTGCCCAATCTTTGCTTCTCTCATCCTGCCAGCAGGTGAAGAACTTTCAGGCATTTTGTTATTAAACTATTGTGCAGAAAGGTCTTTTAGCAAGATGTGTGTGCTGTATGTTTATTCTTTATATTGTTTTAAATTAGTAGTGTTTTAATAAGAGTGAATCTGGTGGAAAACTCAACTCTTATCAGACAGAATAGGAAATTTCTTTGGTCCTATAGACAGACAATACATGGAGCAAGGAAATCTTTCCTCTCTGCATGTATTGTGTCTGCAGAGTCCTGTCCAGCAGAGCTGTTTAGGGTAGTAAGGGAACTGACACAGGTTCCACCTGTGCAGAACCCATTACTTAACCTGACAACAGCCTGCTGCGATGTGTTTAACAACTTCTTTGGAGATAAAATCTCTCAGATAAGAGACAACTTGGATGCCGGTGTTATAGTAGAATCAATAGATGAGGTATCCAGCAATTCCACTTATGAGATTATACTGGATCAATTCCAACTGGTGAGTATCAATGATGTGGACAAGCTCCTTGACAGAGTGAGGAAGACAACTTGCCCTCTTGACCCCTACCCTGCATGGCTGGGGGGATGTCTTGAGGATGTCCCTGAGGGACATCATCAATGCATCCATTGGGGAAGGTTATATTCCATCTTCCTTGAACGCGCCCACCCATCCCCCGCACCATTCCCCCCTCCCAGCGCCTGACC